TAAATATATTTTATTTATTTTTTACAGAGAGGAAGGGAGAGGGATAGAGAGTTAGAAACATCGATGAGAGAGAAACATCGATCAGCTGCCTCCTGCACATCTCCTACTGGGGATGTGCCAGCAACCCAGGTACATGCCCTTGACTGGAATCGAACCTGGGACCTTTCAGTCCCCATGCCGACGCTCTATCCACTGAGCCAAACCGATTTCAGCTGGCTTGTATTTTTAATTTTTTGAGGGAAAAGGTCAGAGATGACACGCGTGTCAGAGATGACACGCAAACTCGTTTTTTTTGGTTGATTTTTCTTTGTTAAATGGCATTTAAATATATAAAACATCAAAAATATAAATCTTTGTTTTACTATGGTTGCAAATATCAAAAAATTTCTATATGTGACATGGCACCAGAGTTAAGTTAGGGTTTTTCAAAATGCCAACACACCGAGCTCAAAAGGTTCGCCATCACTGGTATAGTTTTACATTTTTATTTTGTAAAATTTTCTGTTGCATATGGCTATTGAATTTTATTTGTGCTGAGGTTAATTTGGATATATCCAGTCACAGAGATGAACTGTGAACCAAAATAAGCTTGCTTTAGTTTTCCTTCCTCCATGGTTTATCTTGCTAATTTAAGGAATTATCCTTGAAATGAAATAAATCTGGCTATTATTTTTTAAGTTAATTGAAGATAATTTTTTTTCTTACTGTAAATTCTTTAAGGGAAAAGAAGTTTGGGAAGGAGTTTTCTTTTTGTCTTAGGTTGATCTTGTATTGGAGAGAGCTTTGGTCCAGCCAGAACACTGAGGCATATCTCAAGGACCCTCCTGACCTTTTTTCCCCTGAGCATTGAATTCCCCAGGACCTCTGTGTGCCTAAAAGTTTGCAATGCCTTTTTTGTTGTTGCTTTATTTTCAGTGTATAATATTTTAAAAAGAATCTCCTGCAGTTGGAGTGTGCAACAATCAGAATTAGAATCATGTGTACTATAAAACTGTTGTAAACAGGAAGGAAAAGAACTCATCTCTAGAGATGAGTTGCTTGATGTTGCTGTGAAGTTAATGCTGATGAACACTATATCAGCATTTAAAAAAAACAGTTTCAGAATAAGAGGTAGGATTATCAATATGTCTGGCTTTTAAAAAATTGAATAGTTGGTAACATTTTTAGTTTTCTTTGAGGTATTCCTTTGGAAAGGGGATTTGGATGATGGTTATGAGCTTAACTCCAAGAAGGGATACCTATTTAGGTATAGGATTGGTTGGTAATGCTAGAAATCTCTGACCAAGTACCATAATTTTATAAAGCTTATCAGTGAGCAAACAGGGTTCATTTAATCAAAGCCAGAATCATCAGTAAAATTCATATGTCAAGTGGAACACAAATAATAGAAAATATCCTCCTACTTCCTATAATAGTCACATCATGAATTCTGGCTTAAATACTCCACATTTACTTTTGTTTCACCTTTACATAGGATTCTAGGTGAGGATTCTTTTTCATAGTGATTTTCTTTTTATTTTTTTAAGTTGATCAGAGATCTTTATTCTGGTCCCTGTCCTTCTTTAAGCAGCCAACACAAAATCATTTTCTTTTCCTCTGCCTCAAGCAGCAGCAGTTGCATCCAGACAGAAATGGAAGACACAGCCATGGAACACCTTGTAGCGAAAAGCTAACAGATTATTCTGGCTTAGATAAAGTTAGAACAGGAAAATATATGTGCGACTTTCCAAGGACTCTGTCCTTCAAAGCTGAGGCCTGCAGAGGGCTAGCCGAAGGATGCAGGTAAAGACTCATGTGTCCAGCTTAGTAGTCAATCCAAAGTACCTTCCAGAAAAGTAAATTCATCCACAGCTTTGATTGAATTATCCAAATCTCTCCTCTGGAGCGTTTTCCTGTTGAGAACAGCAGTAAGCGTCTTTTGCAATAGTCTCCACGTGTCAGAATAAAGATGGCTTCCTGTCCGGTGAGCGACACATCAGGGCCTGCCTTAACCAGGGCCTTCACTTGCGCAGAGGCTGCCTCAAGAGCCTGGCCCTGGATGCACTCTTAGGAGCTTGCGCCTGTGGGGCCGCTGCCTCCCCACTGAACCCCTCTTCGCGGGGCATCCTGCTTCCTGCAGCCCCACCTGCGCCTCCGCCCAGCATGCTGGGTGAAGCCCCTTTTCTCTTGCCTGGACACAAAATAACTGTTAAGCCTAAGTATTTTCCCTCCTCAAAATTTTGTCCCGGGACCCTTAGGTCCACAGGCCGACGCGCTTATCCACTGAGCCATACCAGGTAGGGCTCTTTTTAAAAGTTTTTTAAAAAATTTATTGATTTTAGAGAGGAAGGAAGAGAGAGAAACATCTTTTTGTTCCACTTATGCAATCGTTGGTACCTCAGATAAGTTGTATTGTTTTATGTAGCTCTACATTAAAATCTAAAAATCACCTCTCCTGTTCTGGCATCTTAAAAAATTGGTTATTGAGCACCTATATATTAGAAAAGGCTAAATGCTCAAAGTGCCTTGCAGTAAGTAGTCAGGAAGCAAATAGGGACCAGCAGCAATGCTAGAATAAAAACCCACTTTTTGCAAAGTTTGATTTTAGTGAGAAGGGTGTCCTTTGTGGACTGGCCCAGACCCAAACTTGCCCTACCTTAGATTTAAAAAAAAAAAAAAAGGCTGTCTTCTTCCCTTTGTGGTTTCTAAGTATTTGCTATAAGTTGTTGGTTTGTGGTAGCCAAGCTAATAAAGACTTTAGGAAGAAAACTATTTACATGTTAGATCCAGATATCCTGATAATGTTGGCTCTTTCTGTTGCCTGATTTTAGGAGTGTCTACAGCCTAGTCATGAGTTACTAATGTCAAGAAGTTTTCCCAGCAAAGGTATTCTGAACCTTTTGGGGGGACATAAGGACATTTTGGAGAATCTGAGAACCAAAGACTCTAGGAAAACAGACATATATAAAACATTTGCATCTAATGTCTGGTTCTGCCTGACTACCTGAAGCAAATGCTTGGTTTCTAAGCATTTCTGCCTTAAAGGATTGGCATTATAAATTGTACTAGATGCCCAGTGCATGAAAATTAATGCACTGGAGGTGGTGTCCCTCAGCCCGGCCTGCCCCCTCTCACAGTCCAGGAGCTCTCAGGGGTGGGAGGTGACCCGGTGATTGGGGAAGGCACACCTCTGCTGCTGCTGCCACTGCTGGCAGTGCTACCCTTGGCCGGCCCTGGTTACCTGAGCCCCGGGCAGCCACCATTTGACGCTTGCCTGCGCCTTGGGCTGGCCCTGGGCAGCTGGGGGGCTGGGAGACTGGAGGACTCTGGAGGCGGGTGTGCGGAGCCTTGCTGCACACCTGCTGCCCCGGTGTGGCTGAGGGCACTGGGTGCCGCCATCTTTGGCAGGGCAGTCAGTTAGCATATTCCCTCCTTATTGGCTGTGTGTGCCGCCATCTTTGCGATGGTGTGAGGGTCAATTAGCATGTTACCTCTATTGATAGGATTGTGTTTAATGCTATTTGACTCAAATAGTGTTTAAAATTAACATGTACGTATTTGATAGTGTGACTTTATTTTTATGTGCAGGAATCTGTGGATAGCGAGTTTAGTTTAAAGGTTCTTGATGTTTAGCCCCAGCAGATTAAGCCACAGTTATTTCTAATTCTACATAAGAAACAAGATTTTTGACCCTGTTTTATTAGAAATTGAGAATAGTATAAAAATTTGTGTTCCATGCCATTGCTTTGCAAACTGGGTCTGGACCTGTAAGCTTTGAAATCCATTTGATGCGTGTGACTAGTGTATCACATAATATAAGGTTAAGTAGTCAGTGAAACTTTTACTTGAGTGTGTGTATTTATGTAGGTGTAGTTGCAAACATTTATATTTAAAGCATTTTTATTGGATTATGATGTGAAAATACAGGGTGGGGCAAAGAAGGTTTACAGTTGTATTGAAAAGACAATAAATATATAAGAATAAACTCTGTTTCAATAATAAGTAATATAAAAATAAACTTTCCTGGACTTAAAACTATAAACCTATTTTTTCCCTACCCTGTATTTTTTTTTTTTTTTACTAGAACAACCTTTTATTTTTTTTAAAATATATTTTTATTGATTTCAGAGAGGAAAGGAGAGGGAGAGGGAGATAGAAACATCAATGATGATAGAGAACCATTGATTGGCTGCCTCCTGCATGCCCCCCCACTGGGGATCGAGCCTGCAACCCAGACATGTGCCCTTGACTGGAGTCGAATCTGGGACCCTTTAGTCTGCAGGCTAACACTTTATCCACTGAGCCAAACCAGCTAGGGACCCACCCTGTGTGATGTGATTTTAAAAAGGTAGGGATCCACAGCTCTGTATCTGTCTGCTTTCCCTTGGTTGTGGGTGCATCCCCAGTGGGGGGCATGGAGGAGGCAGCTGATTGATGTTTCTCTCTCATCGATGTTTCTAACTCTCTATCCCTCTCCCTTCCTCTCTGTGAAAAACCAATAAAATATATTTAAAAAAATAGAGTTGGGATGTAAGAGTAAAGGGGCAACTATTTTTGAACTTAAGTGATTAATAAAGTAGAAATGGGATTTTACAGATTCAATATTTTTTGGGTAGCTAAGGCTGAATTTGTTTTCTGAAGCTTTTGAAAGCTATCTTAACCAGAAGAAGATAAGTATATTACAAATTTATAATTGCATTTGCTTGGACATGTTATGTATATTTGAGTGAACATAAGTCAGATGCTTAATACTAAGATATCTAGTATCCTTTCTGATTCAAGACTGGAAAGGTCTGTTCTAAATAAGTTCAACTATTCTGGCATTGGCTAGAGCGACCATTATAAAATATGAAGGGCTTTGGGATTTTGGGGCAGGAGGTGGTCAGTGGTTTTTTATTTTTGTTCTTTAATGTAAAATACTTTTCAGGAAAGGTTATGTGAGTAAATATTAGGTATTGTTTAAGAAATTGTATTATAGCCATTAACTTAATGGCTTTCTTTTTCTTTCATTTCTTTCAAAGGTTTGGGCCCCACGGGATCCCTGTGACAGTATTTCCCAAAAGGGAATATAAGGATAAGCCGGAAGCCATGCAGCTCCAAAGTAATACATTCCAAGAAGGGACAGAAGTCAAGTGTGAAGTGAATGGTGCTGTTCCCGACGACCCTTCTCCTGTCCCGCCACCTGAGCCGAGCTTGGCTGAAAACCTGTGGACTTCCAAACCACCACCACTCTTCCATGAAGGAGCACCTTACCCTCCCCCTTTGTTTATCAGGGACACATATAACCAATCGATACCTCAGCCACCTCCTCGGAAAATTAAGCGCCCCAAACGAAAAATGTACAGGGAAGAATCTACTTCAATAATGAATGCTATTAAACTACGACCCAGGCAAGTCCTGTGTGACAAATGTAAAAACAGTGTTGTTGCTGAAAAAAAAGAAATTAGAAAAGGTAGTAGTGCAAGTGACTCTTCTAAATATGAAGATAGAAAACGGAGAAATGAAAGCGTAACTACTGTGAACAAAAAACTGAAAGCTGACCATAAAGTGGATGGGAAAAACCAAAATGAAAGCCAGAAAAGAAATGCTGTGGTTAAGGTTTCAAATATTGCTCACAGCAGAGGTAGAGTAGTCAAAGTTCCTGCTCAGGCGAATACATCAAAAGCTCAGTTAAGTACTAAAAAAGTGCTCCAGAGTAAGAACATGGATCATGCAAAAGCTCGGGAAGTGTTGAAAATTGCCAAAGAAAAGGCACAAAAGAAGCAAAGTGAAACCTCTGCATCCAGAAATGCACATTCAAAAGTCCATTTCACACGTCGATATCAGAATCCTAGCTCAGGTTCCCTTCCACCCCGGGTTCGTTTAAAACCACAGAGGTACAGGAATGAAGAAAATGACTCTTCTCTGAAGACGGGACTTGAGAAAATGCGGAGTGGCAAGCTGGCACCTAAGCCCCAGTCTCGTTGCACCTCTACCCGCTCAGCAGGTGAGGCCCCTTCAGAAAATCAGAGTCCCTCAGCAGGCCCTGAAGAGGCCCCCAGTGAGGTTCAGGACACAAATGAAGTGCTTGTGCCTGGTGAGCAGGAACCACAGACACTGGGCAAAAAGGGCAGCAAAAGCAATCTCTCTGTTTACATGACCCTAAATCAAAAGAAATCTGACTCTTCCAGTGCGTCAGTGTGTAGCGTTGATAGCACAGATGATTTGAAATCCTCCAACTCTGAGTGTAGTTCTTCTGAAAGCTTTGATTTTCCTCCAGGCAGTATGCATGCACCTTCCACCTCCTCCACATCCTCTTCTTCAAAGGAAGAGAAAAAGCTCAGTAATTCCTTGAAAATGAAAGTCTTTTCCAAAAACGTCTCTAAATGCGTCACACCAGATGGCAGGACCATCTGTGTAGGGGACATTGTTTGGGCCAAGATATATGGCTTCCCTTGGTGGCCAGCCCGTATTCTTACTATAACTGTGAGTCGGAAAGATAACGGCCTCTTAGTTCGACAGGAGGCCCGTATTTCATGGTTCGGGTCTCCAACAACATCTTTCCTTGCTCTATCGCAACTGTCCCCCTTTTTAGAAAACTTCCAGTCACGCTTTAATAAGAAGAGAAAGGGCCTATATCGCAAGGCTATCACAGAGGCAGCTAAGGCTGCCAAGCAGCTGACCCCGGAAGTACGGGCTCTGTTGACTCAATTTGAAACGTGAACACGGACAGTAAGGTAGGCAAGAACCATTGAAAGGCACCACAGATTTTTCTAGTCTAGTTAGGAGTACCTTCTGCAAAATAGCCTGGCCAAATTGGAGAGAGAAATTGAACTCATTGGCTGCTTTTTTTAAAATAAAAACTTACCTTATAGCCATTTTTAGGCTGAGAAGCTAAACTGAACAATCAAATTTTGTCTTAAGGTTGTGAGATTTTAGTAGTATTTTTCAGTTTTAAAGTCTAAAACCACCCTAAGGCACAGGAGCCATAGCCTCAACTGAAAATGAATTTTTGCAGGGACTTTTGCCATTTGTACCTAGTACTGTGTGTATGTGTGCATATATACACATAAATATGTGTGTGTATATACATACATACTATATATAAATAGAATCTAGCCTGTCACTGTGTGACACAGGTTGCATATTTGGGATTGTTGTAAGGGCTGCTGAGCTGGGGGAAATAGTGTGGATATTTAATGACTACTTGTTTTTAAATTAATGAACACGTAACCTTTCTATGTGCATAATGGTATAAGAGCTTGATATTTAGGTGTTTGACAAACAGATGCTTGCTATTCAGTTTCAGACTGGGGAAATAGCTCAAGTGTTTGGGATTAAGATTGTCAAGGCTGGCTAGGTTTGAATCATCTCTCTCCTTTGTTCAACGAGGATTTAACAAAAACTTTCAAACTTCTGGTTTGGGAGTTCAGATAGGTTTGTTTATCTTTGGATATGTAAATAGTTGGTTGCTAAATTTGGTCAGATTACTCCTGACTGGCTGTTCCTAAATTCTTAGGATATGTTCTGATGAATTACACTTTGTGAATTGTCATATGTGTAATTATTGCCTTTTGGATGTACCTAATTTGATAACTTTAAAACATATTTCTGTTTAAAGGTATCAGTTTGCAGGTCAGAAAATGAGAAAATGTAATTGTGTAATGCTCTGAAATGTAAAAAAACAAGCTGTAAATAAAATCGACTAAATCCAAATTATTTGTGTGTGTTTCTCAAAAAGCTTTGAAAATTTTCAAGATGGTAGAAAATTAATCTTTGTAACTGTGTAGAGGAGGTGAAAAATCAAACTTACTCCTTATTTGCCCTATCGGAGAATATAATATCTGAGCATAGATGATAATCTTAAAATGAGATATTGTAGTATAGAGGTCTAATATGTTTCTAGATTTGACCCTTCTGCTAGTTTCTCCTAAATGTATGGGTTTTATTTTTTTCATTTCTAGCCTTAATATTTCCTCATGTGCTTGATTTAAAAAAAAAATATTTGAGTAATTACAACTAGTCTCTTCTGGCTCTAGTGCCTCAGGTATCATTGCTTTTGGGGCCGGTAACTTAGCTCATCGTTTTTCTACATGGTCCATATGTCCCTAAGATTCGATTTTTTTATTTTCCATTTTTAGCTTTATATTGTTAGTGGAAAATATATCAGATTGCCTATGAAGGCAAGTTTATCCCAAGGTAATGTTGCTTTCATACTTTTTGTGTCTAACTTTTAAATTTGATATGTCAATTTGACACTTTGGGAAACTTGAAATATTTAAAGAGCAACTTTTCATGGATTTCTTTGTAATCCAATTTGAAATACCTTAGTTACTATGGAATTAATAATGAAAAGATTAATGGAGATTTAAAATAAATAGTTTTCATGTTAGCTTCCTTAAGGTTATGGACTTCTATGATTTATATACTGATTTCTGCAAAAGAAAGTAGAATTTCTTCTGGGGAACTCAGTCAATGCTTTTTGATTATAATAAACACACAATTGAAAAAACAAGATGTTTCACTTGAATAGAACATATTCTTTCCTGCAAACAGAAACAACTATTTACAATTTATTTTTGATAACAGGTTGAAAGAAGTTCACATGATTGAAGGGTTTTCAGGAAGTATCTCAAGATTTTCTGAGTATTTGTTTCAGATTAACGAACTGTTCAGATATTTTTGAAAGTTTGAGTATCCAAGGTTCAGATTTAAACAAGGGAGCATAAAGTCACCTGAAATATGTAATTCCAAGGCTTCATATAATGATCCCAGGTGAGTTTCATCCGAAAATGGTGGTTTTGACAGTGATATTGCTAATATAGTCAAATGCTTTGGCAAATGTGCTTTTGTGGCATAAACCAAATTTGGTTTCAGAAGCCTTAGGAAAAAGAAAGAAAACAGTCATATTTGTTGAGTACAAAAAGAATTTTATGTAGTCCATACCTTTGAGGGAAGGCTTGAAGCACAATCATAAATGTGCATGATCTCCAATCATGCCATTATGAACTGGCAGTCTGGTCATTTCATCTGAAGTTTCAATAGGGAAACAAGTTTTAAAGATTTTCTGAATACTAATTCAGTAGTTGCATAGTAATGTTCTGTTCAAATAGAAATTTCTGAAGCAGTTAAATTTGCAGATGGAAATAGAGTAGAATTGAGTGATTGCAACCCCTTTTTTCTTTCAATTGTTAAAATGAGCATTTACTTGCATGGAGATAACGAAATGGGTAATTTTTACCTTTGCAGAGAGAAAACGAGGTGTGGGCCAGGTCTGCAGTGGTCTGAGTAAAATGGCTAAAACAGGATTAGCAAGGGGAGAAACCAAGTGAAGTAAGAGCTGTAAAAGCCAAAGATGAAATTATTTCTAGAAATTATCCGAAATTTAGTATTAGAGTTTTTCCCCCCTTTTAGTTTTCTAGGATTTACAGGCCAGAAAGCTGACTTCATTTGGAAAGAATATCTGTTCAACCCATTTATAGAATTAGAACCAGATACCTAGATGATGAAGTAAAGTAGAACTCACTAGTCTGAAGTCCATTTTCATGATTTGAAAGTGTGTCCTGATGTGGTTTTGATGGGAAAATTTATAAATAGTAATTTTAGATTAGTACTAAGTAGAATAGACAGGATTATAGCTATAAAGAACTGCAGACAAAGAATATGGAACTGTTAGCAAAATCAACTATACTTTAGTGGGCGAGTTTCTAATTTATAAAATACTGAGTTGCCACCTCTCTCAGGTTGTGCTTCATATTGGTTCTGTGGAAGGAAAGATACACATTTACATTCTTTGATAGATATACATCCTTTATATAGAATAACAATTGGAATTTGGAAATACTTTAAGAAAACCTTTGATTTGCATTTAAAATTAGCTTTCTTTTAAATTTTGAATTTCTCTATCGTTCTGCATTAGTTCACTTTTGTTAAGGATTCATAGCAGAAACTGGCAAATGTCTAGAAAAGTTAATATTTTGATTCAGGATGTTTTGATTTGGGCCAGGTGATGGCCTCCAATAGGGAATTTTCAGGGACAATGAAGACCCCCCTTTTTTTTTAAGTGGGGGAAATTTAGGGTTTGCTTTGGTATTATTGCTATTGAAATGCTTGATAGGGAATTCAGAAATAGAACATTAGTCTGGTGTCATCCATGCATTGCTAGGAGAAAATAAAACAGCTACTCTGTCCTGGTCGCTTTGGCTCAGTGGTTAAAGCATTGGCCTGCGGACTGAAGGGTTGTGGGTTCCATTTTGGTTAAGGGCATGTACCTTGGTTGCAGGCTTGATCTCTGGCCCCGTCGGGACAGGTGCAGGAAGCAACCAATCAATTTGAGAGAGACACATAGATATTTCTCTGCCTCTTCCCTTCCCCTCCATTCTGAAAAAAATCAATGGAAAAACAACAAAATCAGCTAAGCTTCATTAATTTTGCCTAGTTCTGACTTAGTTAATAGGCTCTTCATATTCTGTATGTATAGTTTGTGTGCAATTACTGTATCCAACAAAGTGAGTAGAATTAAAAAATGAAAGCTTTAGCAATTAATGTTATGCCATTTTAAATGAAAGAATAGTAAGTTTAAAGTCAGAGATCATCTAGGTCAGTGGTTCTCAATCTTCCTAATGCCGCGACCCTTTAATACAGTTCCTTGTGTTGTGATGAATCCCAATTTCATTGTTACAAATTGAACATAATTAAAGCATAGTGATTAATCACAAAAACAATATGTAATTACATATGTGTTTTCCGATGGTCTTAGGTGACCCCTGTGAAAGGGTCGTTCGACCCCCAGGTTGAGAACCGCTGATCTAGGTGGTCGATATATTTTTGGTTTTCCAGGATGTCTTGGTGTCTTTATCATGGATAGTTGACACGGATCAGAAGAGAAACAGTTCAACTCTTTTTAGGTGAATTAGTGGGACTGTATTTATCCATTACTCTTTTAAGAGTAGCTCTTTAGATTAAAACCATCTTCTCTCACTGACAAATTGTTTTTGACATTTAAAAAAAAAGATAATTTTATTGATTTCAGAGAGGAAGGGAGAGGGAGAGAGAGAGAGAGAGAGAAAAACATCGATCAGAGAGACTCATTGATTGGCTGCCTCCTGCATGATCCGCACTGGGGATTCAGCCTGCAACCGAGGCATATGCCCTGACCGGGAATTGAACCATGACTTCCTGGTTCAGAGGTTGATGCTCAACCACTGAGCCACATTGGCTGGGCTTGGACACATTTATGAATATGGAATCCATTTAAATTGTTTGTTATGAAGTTAATTACATTAGTTTTCAAAACTTAATTTACATACCATCACAATTGCCCCATATTTTCAAATTTGTGTACTTTTTTTTTAATGTCAGTACAGTAATGGAAAACAAACGTGCCTTGACACAGGTAGAGAACTAGAATACAATTCTAAGATCTTGTGTACCACACTTTGGTAGGAAACAAGAATTTTTATGTCTTTAAAGTCCATCTTGGGATGAATTGAACAAAATTTTCATGCATCTAATTAATCTCTGAAAAAACTAATGACCAAACTTGAATTTTTTTCTTATAGATTCCTATGTTCTGGCACAAATTAAAGATTGGTTGCGGGGAGGTGTAAAGTAAAAGAAGAAACTGTAGACTCAAATGGTATCAGGATTTATCAAAATACTGAATTTGTGAGTCAAAATTCTCATTTTCCAACTGAATGAGATGTTTGTAGTATATGTTGTCTAACTTACAGGCTGC